ATGAGATTATCTTATATTTCAAATTCTATTCTATTAAAAGAAGTAGGAAATTCAGGTTACTTACTTCTCTTGTTGGTCGATGAGGATTGACTAATTGTTTCACATTGCCATATGTGACCAACGAAGCCATGGAGTCACCAACCCAAGCAATGTACAATTTCTTATTTATCAGCAACGCACAAACCGCAGTGGTTCCGCCATTTAATTTCTGTAACGAAATGACGAATCAACAAAGTTATCGGTAGCGAATTATGCAAAATAAAATATAGCATTTCACGTAAGAAACATTTACCTGTATACTCGACTTCGCTATGAATTGTGCATCGGTCGTCAGGAAGGCATCGCGCAACGCACGTTCCGGATCTGTTGGATAGTACACACTCTCGACCAAATATTGATGCAAATGTGTTGCGCAATATGCCGCGGCGTCTTGTCCACCGTGGCCATCGAATACAGCATAGTAATCCACGATAGTATCATCCTGCAAAGTACAATTAACGTATCAGCTCATATATTAATACGTCAAGAATGTCAGATGGAACTAATTTTGAATATAATCGCTAATAAATTTTAACGCGTAAATCAATACTTATTATTTCAGCATTATATATTATTATTATTATTATATATTATATATTATTATGATTGCAAACACATTGGCGAGATCTTTACCTGAATATTAAACATGGTATTTAAATCGTGCAAGATTATATGGCGATCTTCCATTTTTCTTCTGGCATTTCTGATAGCACCCACTGTCACTTGCGGCGTTGATGAAGGCGGTGGCAAGAGAGCTAGCCTGCTGTTATCTAAATACCGTCTGCAGATCTCGTTTACTTCGTTTGTGACGGCTTGCATGAGCTTCAAAGGCGCGTACGCTGCGAAAAAATCCACCAAATTTATATAGAATATAAATAAAGTCACTGATAAATAAAAAAATCTCTGAAAATTCATTTATATTTGAAATAAATTATTAATGCAACGATCAAAATAATAATTTATATGGAATTATAATAAATAAATTATTATTTTAATCGTTTATAAATTATTATTTTGATCGTTGTATGAGCCATTTATTTCAAATATAAATATACATTTTCAAAGATCTTTGACTTATCAGGAATTATTAAAGGCGCGATTAAAGTCTCGCTACGAATGCTTTGAAGCATTTGAATGACCAATCAAAAGAAAGAATTTTACTACTTGGTCAATCAAAGAACGCTTCAAAGCATTTATAGCATGCGTTGACTATATGTTAAAATGATTATATTTGGAAATCAGAAATGCTTACATAATTTTTTAAATAAGCAGTTTGTATTTCGTTTTTTTTTGCGAATATTTATTAAGGTACAAAATTATAAAAAAAAACTTACTCTTTTCTTGCTGCCTTAGTCCGCAGACTTCCGGCTGTTTCTTGCATGTTGACTTGATCGCTTGTATTACGAGACGTGAGATATAGGACTGTAAGCTTGGTGGACAGTATCTGAAACCAAACCGCATGGCTTTTATCATATTTCTTACTTCCGAGAAATATTTACAAGGCAATATCAATTTAAAAAATACAGACTCTTTGATCAGTTTTTAACTTTCTTAATAAAATAAAATACGAATATTAATAACTTCTAACGATAGTTTTATAACTGCAGTTGTAATTTATATCTAATAAACAATACTAAACTTTATATATGTATGCTTTGATCAGTTGGAATCAGTTTCTTTTTTTTAAAAATATGGAGATGTTAATTTTTAGTAGTAATTTTAGACAGTTTTATAACAGTTACAATTAATATCTTATGACTAATTATATCTTATGAGTAAATATATAAAAAAAAACATTCACAATCAAGATTCGCCTTCTAAATGAAAAAGAAAGAAAAAGCATTTTTTCTACATTTATAAAATTAAGAAAATATTATTTTAAAAAGTTAATATAAATATATATCTTAATCTTTATCTTTTAATAAAAAAATCTATCCTTTTCTCGTTGTATTATTTACACTTTTCATACTAATAAAATAAATACTCAGAATTTTTTTACAAAAGAAAAAGAGAAAAAGTCACATACACATAAGAAAGTATTAAGTAAGTACACAGAGTGCAACTAAAAGAAGGGAGCTTAAATATTTTGGCTACCTCTCGTTTATCATGTATCGTGTGCATAGTGTTTATTCTTTCCGCCTGGTTCGTGATAACGATGGGCGGCGATAGTCTCGTGATTCTTGTGAGTTTCAGTTAAAATAGATAAACGCAACGGCAGTGCGGAAGCAACTTTCATCTCGCGATTCGGTTATTTCGCGCCTTCGAAGAACTCGCGGTTCGAGAGGGCAAATTTCTTACATAATCTTACATACATTTCCTGCTTGCGTGAGGCACCGTGCAACTATGCGTAACTTTTTTGCGTGTCGATTTTTTTCCACGATGCACACAATATTCTCGCGTCTTTGAAACAGTTCAAGTATCTTTGTGCTATAAATGCAATATAAAAATCGCGTTTATTGAGAATTACAAGAGAAAATATTTCATAACTTTCTCGGCTTTCTTCTTGTATAAAAAAATAGATCATTGCAATAGTGCCTTCATAATATATATATATATA